CATTACGTCATCGGAGATTTGTCAATGGCTACCACTGATGGTGCAATAATACAGTTTGCGTTGATCAAGTAATGTGATGTCTACAGTAAGAAAAGAATCATCAATGACTGCTTTGGAATGTGCACTGCGTTCCGACCGTAGTGCTAAGCAAACAGTTAAATTTTAAAAGCGCGGTTATAAGATCTAACAGATCTTCTTGTTAATAATTAAACCGAGGGTGGCTTTGACTCTGTTTCGTCTTTGGGATAATATGGGCGTTTTACCGGAAGGTATGAAATAATTGCTAATGCCATTTACTTTGAAAGATGCATTTCAAGGCCAGGCCAATTCAAACACACGCAACATTTGCAACGTTGTTGCGGACAATATGTTTACATAAGTTTCATCACCCTGGTGGGTTGTAATATAGGCTTAGCGTAAGAAGTCGAATGATGCAAGAAGGTAGCCATCTGTGAACAAATTCGCTAATACAACACTCGCATGCGGGATTTTATACGAAGCTAGTGCTACAAGTGGTAGATGTTCAGAGATTTCATCTCTAAACAATGTTTTAACAATGTTGCAACCATAGAAGTATATAAAAATTACAAAAGGGAAACGCTGAAAGTAAGAAACAACATAATCATATAAGTGCAGCGTGGGATGATTTCAAGAGTCTGGGTTTTACACAGTTCCGTCATGTGTGATGAGTCTTCTCGATGGATACTCCAAGTTGACCGCGGTTGTCACGGAACTTTTCCGTTATTGAACCTTTGAATATTCCAGTCAAGTTAAATTTGTTACGGGAGCGACCAACGTTCTCTCTCACGATAGTAAAGCGTGAAAACATGACTGTTCACAATTAGCGATATCAAAAACATCTTTTGTTTTTTGTATAATGTTACCCCGAAACAGAGTTTTATAATAAGTACTTAGTCTACTTAAGCTAACCGTTTCACGTGGCTGAAAGAGCTCATTAAAGTGTCGAATAGTGTTTGTACAAATGATGTTTGAGAAGATCGTCGTAAATGTCACACACACGAGCTCGAGCTAAAAGATTTACGAGTGACAAAAGCATGTGGTAAAAATAGCGTTGGAAAAATGCGGTTGAAAGAAAGTGATCTTTGGCTCGCTACAAGAAGAAGAAGAAGAAGAAGAAGTAGTACTTGTGATAGAATTACTCGTTGATATTTTGCAGGGTGCAGAGAAAAACACGACATAAACATTGACAAGGAAAATGAACACAAATATTTTATCGTCCTGTTTACGATATGCTTTATCGGTTTCAACAAGCTTTAACAAGCGTTTTATTTGTTTTTCTGTTGCTTGGTTTTAAGATATGCATTAATGCCTTTTACCCTTTACTTACAATCGTCAAGCTTCATGTTAGCTTCAACAGGAAGAGATATCATCTGGTATTGGTTCTACAAATTTCATTGCTGTCATATTATTATTGTTTTCGCACCCAATTGACTTCCGTTTTACCCTCTTGTGATAGGTACCGCCCCTTTTGTGATTTAAAGCCCGAAGTTGTGCATGTCATCAAAGCCTCTTGCCGTTTGTTCTCTTACCAAACCTTCCACAAAGTAGCAGAGACATTTGGAGCTCAAGGCAATATGGTCGATTCAGTGGTACTGGTTGTAGTTAAATCCGTTGCTGGCTGGCTTTTTAATAAGGGCAAAAAACGTGCAATGGAAAAACTGAAAAATTCTAGTGATGTGGTTGATCAAGCACTTTGCAGTTGGATCGCAAGTGATCTGGATGACATCAAGTCGGAAATGAGGGCGGCAAAAAGAAAAAATCTTGTAGCAAGTATCAACAGTTACAACGAGGGACTCACATCCATTTGTTTTGACGTGGAAGTAGACGGCCCTCCGCAGAAGAAGCCGAGAATGGACCCTGGTATTGGCGACAGATCAATGTTAGAGCCGAGAGTTGAACTAGAAACGTATTTCAAAGGTAACTTTAAGCTTAGCTCTACTACAAAAGAGCGATTCGCTAATGCGCGTATTAGAGCCGGAGATGCCCTTGGTAATCAAAACCTGGAGACAATGGATAAAATTTTAGCATATTATCTAAAAGTCATGGCGACGTTGCTGGAAGATGTCAATACTGCTGATCCATCTAGAGCATTATTGCTTTGCAAGGACTATTTGAAACAATTGAACTCGATGAAAGCGATTAGTGATATCTTCAACACTGAAATCAGCAGGCTGCCGCGGTGGAAAGAGAGGCTGATGCCGGGAACCCCTGGAAAAACACAAAGACTGAATATTATCTGGTCAGTCTGTCATGTGAATCGTGTGGTGTTCGATATAGCACAGTTGTTCGGTGGAGAAAGAGTGTTCCGAGAAACCTTCATCTGGCCATGCATTGAAATCAGAGGAAACGAGTGGAAGGAGGTTGATCCGTTGCGTGATCAAAGGTTAATAGAAGTTCTAAGATCAGCAGGCAAGGAAGACTCCAAGGAAGACTGCTCCGTGATACAGTCGTTTGGCCTCGAGGGCCTCAAGCTCACCCTTCCATTCGGCATCGCTGCGAATCCACAAGGCCAGTTTCTAGTGGTAGACGACAGAAAAACCGATGTGTTCGACAACTATGGCAATTACCTCTACCCGTTACATCTGCCAACGGACAACACCTTTCAATACCGTGCTGTGGATCTTGATACAGACCGCGCTGGCAATGCATATCTACTAGTGGCCAAGGGGATCAACAAATTACATTTCTATGAAGTGTTTGTGTTCGACAACAGCGGTAAGTTGTATCACAACTTTCCACTAAGGAACAATTCCAAAGGACGCAGACTGGCAGTAAACCGACACGGCGACAACACTGAAGTGCTCGTATTAGCCGGAGAAGAAGGGCTGCATGCTATGGTGGAAGTGTACGACACCGACGGAAAGTTCATCTGCCAGTTTGGAGAGAGAATTTTGCAGGATGCACACTACATCGTTGGTGCCAATGATGGCAGCATTCTCGTGTTGGATAAATGTCATGAAGTTAAAAAGATGTTCATTCTAGAGTTCGATTCTAATAGATGCCACCGCAGATTTGATGTGGCAGATGATTCCGCCCTGGCCATAGCGTTTCATGGCGCGAGTGAAAACATCGTCATTATCTCCACATCTGATGACCTGAAGTCTTTTAAGCTGTCTGTGCGCGGCAAAACTTCTGACGGCAGCAACAAGGGTGGTGATCTTGAGTTACTACGCACTTACAAGTACGAAGTGAAAGGCAATCTTTCAAAGCAGCTTCACGCTACAGTAACGACAAAGGGACGCATAGCTGTATTGGTGGCAGAGAACAGCGATGATGATGAACCTCAAGGGAAGGTAATCGTTTATTAAGAGGAGATGTGTGATACATATGGCGTGCAACTTTCCATTTGAACCGGAAAAACTTTAAACACTGAAACACTGGTAACATTTGCCGGGCTACCTGTAGTCAAGCGATTTAAACTGAATGGGTTGTGCCCACATCATGACAGCAAAAAAAATTTATTTACCAGTTTAGACGCATATATTTCTAAGGATAATCTTGGGAAAATTTAAAATTAATTAAAAAATTTAAAATTAATTTAATTTAAAACCTTGGGAAAATTTAACAGTTACTGAATTATATTAGCCATTCCGATCCTCCGTTCAAACTGGAATTTGTGTTTTGAAAGTATAAACGTGTGATTATAAATAGTACTTCCTTCAAAGTAAGGATTCCTGCTGGAAGGCCGGAGTGAACAAGTTCTGAAAAACACTTGTGTGATTTTAAATATGTGTGTTGTATCGGCCGTGTACGGAACAGTGCTTGTGCGGTGTGAGCAAGTTCTGAAGAAGAAAACCTACTATACAACGTGTGATTGTAAATAGTGGTCCCGTCAAAGTAAGGTTAACTGTTGGAAGGTGTGAACAGGTTCTGACTGAAGAAACCTCTGATTGTAAATATATGTAATGTATGAATTTTAACTAGCAGTGCATGCATCGTGTGAGCTAGTTCTTAAAAAACCGCTATAACGTGTGATTTTAAATAGCCAAATGTATGCACTGTATCAGCCACGCAAGATCATCACTAATGGCCTCGCATTCTTCTACTGAATGGATTTCTTAAATCATGTTAATTGCAGATTTCATGAGCCTGTAACTTTTTCCTTTTTTACATAAACAATGGTGAACCTTCTATCTCGTACTGTTAACAAGCTTAGGGAAAACCGGAAAATAGTTCGAGATGGCAGGAACTCGAGACAGCTGACAGTAAATGACTGAGAACGTATATCCAAGGGAAAATGATCTGAGTTTAAGAAAACGGGGAATTGGAATTTGAAATAACAGAGTTCCACATAGCGATGTTCAACTGGTGTACATGTATTGTTTGTTTCTTTGTTTGTTTGTTTGTTTTTGACGTTTTGTTTTGAGTAATTAATAAACCAAGTGAACATATAAAAACAGAAATGGTCGTCGTTTCTGCGTGACCAAACGGTATTTGAATTTTACACATAAGCTTCAAACCTCGAAATATAATCTGATTCTTCACGCGGGCAAATGGTTGGGAAAGGGACGTGTTTTAGCGCTCAGGTTAGCCTAAATATCACTAACTCGACCGTGGTTAGCTCTCAATAACAGTAAGGGTTACCCTTGACTGAAGACACCCGTATCCAACATTGACTCCGTCTTTTTCTTAGTGCCATTTCGTCATTTCGCCTCTTCGTGTTTTAAAAGCCCCTGGGAAAGCCCGTCATCTCACCTAGTTGTGTAAGTCGCAGATGTGGGTATCATTTCGACTGCTTTGGGCGGAAAGGCAATATTTTTATATTTATCCTCGACGATTTCGTTTAGGGATAGATGCGAAGAAATAAAAATCACCTATCACACTGTGTTGGTTAAAGAAACAATCAAACATTTCATTTAAACGACAACGCACCTGGATATGTACCGGCAGTGGAGTATTGCCGTGGACCTTACAGTAGGCAGTTTATTGCAGATGACGATCATGAAAATATACTTTTAAAGTCAGCCTTGAGCCTTCTTTCTGATGCATACAGTTGATGGTTTACAAACAAATTTGGATAAGCTGAAGCCGAAGAAATCGACGGCGACCATTTCTTGACATGACCAGTCACAAGCAGCAGGAACAAAAGCATCGTTTGGCTTAAGAAAAAATCTATAATTATGTATTTTACCCTGAAGTAAAATTCTGTCATTATTAGTCCATTTCAATTTACTGTTTACATTGACACGTAGTAGAATTAACAGCTTGGATCAAAGCTGTTTCGTTTTGGATCAATAGCGTCAAGAGCGCTTATGTTTTTCCGCGTTCGATCACGAAACAAATACCTCGTTGTGTTTTAACATTTAAGCAGTTATATTTTTGTAGTTTCAAATTAGATTCTGTTTTTGTATTGAGACCCTCGCTAATGTGAAGAGTCCTCAGTATATCCAACGGAAATTGTTCGGTTTTCTAAGGACCACTTTGCGGCCATTCTCTCAATGTTCCACCGGGTTGTTAAGCAATACCTTCAAACTTTTAACTTTTAAGAATCTTAAAAGATTCTTTTCAAATCTCAAATGCATGTCTAGGATCTATGTGGTATAATTCTATGAAATTTGCTGCCTGCTTGTAGAACAATCGCCAACAGCACGCTGGTTGCGATAAGTTGTGCTAACCTCTCTCTTTAATAATTAAACCGATGGTTGCTTTGATAATATGGGCGTTTTACCGGAGGGTATAAAATGATTACTAATGTCATTTAATTTGAAAAGATATATTTCAAAATATGAAAGGAGATAATGTGTTATGTAAGAATTGGTGCCTCTTACGGAAAAAAAAAAAACTGCAAAGTCACAGCTCGACTTACTCGTCAAGCTTCATTTTAGCGTCAACAGGAAGAGATATTCTCTAGTGGTCCTACATATATCAATATTTTCGCACGCAGTTGACTTCCTTTGTACCCTCTTGTTAAGCACCACCTCTTTTGTGATTTAAAGGCCGAAGTTGTACGAGGCATCAAAACCTCTTGGTTTGTTTTCTTGCCAAACCCCCCCCTGGGGTGAGAATCTCATACACAAAGGACGGGGGGTGCTCGTTGTACCATTTGGGGGTTAAAAAAGCGACTTTTTTTGGTACCTCTTAGAGTGTTTGTTCCTGTTTGGTACCTCTTAGGGTGTTTAACCTCAAAAGGTCCACGCTTTTGCGGTACGTTGCAGGGTATTGATCCGAAAAGAATATGACAGTAGATACTGTGTTGTTTTAAAGTTGGTACCTCTTAGGGGAGAAAAACATTTCAAGCCAAGGTCACAAAACAGGATCTTCATACCTCTTAGGGGTTCTTTTCAAAATTTCCGACATGTACCCCCGTCCTTTTTACATGGGAGTCATCCCAGGGTGTTTTACTGGATGGAGGGTATAAGATAATTACTAATGTCATGTGATTTGAAAAGATGTATTTCAAGGCCCGGCCAAACACACGCAACCAATTTGTCGCGGACAACTTGTTGCATACGTTTCAACATCCTGTTGGGTTGTAATATGCTTACGTGGAAGATATCGGATGATGCTGCAGGAAGGTAGCCAAGTTAATACGACACTCCCAACAATCCCTGCAATTTGTTTCGCAGTGGAATTCAGCTCTCGACCAAATCATCATGGCCGAAGTGATCGCTAGTGTGTTAAAAGGTCCCGCTAAATTTTTGGCAAACAAAGTCCGAAAAGGTGCAGCGAAACGTCTGTTTGATGGCGATGAGGTTGATCGAGGCCTTGCAGAGACTATCATTCCTGATGCCGACCATACCAAAAGGAACTTTAAAGCAATAAACCGAACACATCTTCAGGCGAGTATCAATTTCTACTATGAAGGAGTTGAATCTATTGCTTTTGATGCAGTGGACAGTCCACCACCGATCAAAAGAAGGAAAATAGCTATAGACCACAGCCCTCCAGCAAGGGAAGTAGATATTGCAAATTTCTGTCAAGCTAATGTAAAGCTTAGCCCTGATTCAAAGAAAAGGTTTAAGGATGCCCGTAAACAAGCAGTGTTAGCCCTAAGCAATACAGCTCTGGAAACGAAGGATAGCGTTTTAGCTATGTACATCAAGGTTATGGCGCAGCTGCTTGAAGAAGCCGATGATCCAACGAGAGCATTACTATTTTGTAAAGGATATCTTGAAGACATGCATGGTATGAAAACGATTATAGCCAACATTGCCACTGAATTTCGTAAAACTCCTAAAAAACAACTGAAAAAGGTTGACCGAAGACGTATTATCTCGTATGTTTCTCATGTGAATCGCGTGATTTTCGATATCGCACAGTCGTTCGGAGGAGACAGAGTGTTTCGAGATCTCTTTATCTGGCCCACAATTGAAATTCAAAGTAAAGGAAACGGAAAGGAGGAAATTGATGTTTTGCGAGATCCCAGAATAGACGAGGTGCTGCATAAGGAAGGTATGAAACCTATTTCTGTGGTATGGTCGTTTGGCGATCAAAGTGAAGAAGAAGAGCACAAACTGAAGCGTCCTCAATCCATCGCTACGAACACAAAAGGAGAATTTGTTGTGCTAGACGACATGGCCATCAAAATCTACGACAGCAGCGGCGGATTCCTCCGCTGTCTTCTGAAAGATTGCAAATTTGAATTTCATACTGTTGACGTTGACACTGACAATGAAGGCAACTTGTATTTGCTCGCTTGGGAAACCAGTAAAGAGCATGGAAAAAACATGGAAGAATTGTTTGAAGTGTTTGTCTTCGACACGAACGGTGAGTTCAAAAACAAATTTTCTCTGAGAAATAAGTCCAAAGGACACAAACTAGCTTTGAACTCACATGGCAACCATACTGAAGTGCTTGTTCTGGAGAGCGGTGAAACAGGGTTTCATGACAAGTCTGACAAGGTTGGAGTGTACCGCTACAAGACTGAGGGTGCGTTTGATCGCCAATTCGGGAATGGAATTTTGCGGGATGCGAAGGATATTGTCAGCGCTACTGATGGTCGTATTTTGGTGTTGGATGAAAGTCGTGGACCTAAAGAGAAGAGCTGTGTTCTCGTATTCGACGCAGGGAAACAGCACCTTTCCAGTATTGACGTATTTCCCGGTTCTGTTGCCATAGGGTTTCATCGTGTAAGCGAACACGTTGTCATCATCTCTGTTTCCGAGGACCGAGAAGAACTGCTTTGGTCAATAAACAACGTCAACGGTGGTTGTGTGGAGCGCACCGACAGGCGTCCTGAAGCTGGAATTCAGTCAGCAGACATTACAGTGACTCCAAAAGGTCGTATCGCAATTGCTGTAACACAGCTCTATGGCGGTCAACCTAAAGGAAAGGTAATCGTGTTGTAAAAGAAGTCGGGCTTTAAATACTGTTCTTGCTGATGTCATTAAGTGACAATCACGTAACATTTCCTTTATTTAGGGCGAGATTGCAAACTGAGTAAATTGCTATGTCTCTCGATAAATTTCAGCTGAACTAGGCTCCTTTTTTAAACTGCCCCTAAATAATTCATACGTATATTACTGAAGACGTATGCTTTGTTTAAATGTTGAGCGTGTGTTCAATTTTCACGAACTGGGGACAAGGGTAATTAAACCAAAATCTCTTCCGCAGCTTGACTACACTCGAAACGATGTAGACGGAAAAAATGCCCAGGATTGCGTAGTCTACATACGTGGCCCACATGACAGCAAACAAATTCTCTTTACTAATCTAGACGCATTTCTAAGGATAATCTTTCAGGGAGAATCATCAACAGTTACTAAATTATATTAGCATTCTGACCCCCTTTCAAGCTGGAATTTGTGTTTTGAAAGTATAAACGTGTGATTATAAAGTGGTATAAATGGTAATTCTTTCGAAGT